AATTTTATACACATATTATTATGCATATTTCATATTTTTCTAAAAAAAATTGATTTTTTTCTTTCTTAACCTGTATATTTCAACTAATATTGAATATATAAAACTCAAAATGACCAACGAAGGTATTTATTGTCATCGCCATTAGTCAATTACGGAGTTAATAACAGTGATGTACTGATGTGATACGAATTTAGTCTATTACGCTAATATACCGAAATACTTATTTGTAGTGTTATATCTTATTGTCGATGATAAGTTATCGTAATTATAATGATGGTTTCTTCGTTTATCGTTACTGTTGATTGTACACGATTGATATTTGACAGTGACAGTTTCGTTTTAGACGTCGTATTGTTAGTAGGTGAAGTGCGTATATTTTTGGAATTCAGAATAATATTTTTGCATACTTAACATTTTTAATGCATATTTTGCAATTTTTCGTACATATTTGCATGTATAACTACCGAACCCTACTTATTAGTATTTGGTGCTTTATAATTTTTTATGGGGTAAGTATAGGTAGAGCACAAAATACACAAATATTTTTTCATATTTTTGTATATTATATTATATTGTACCTTATAAATTATATTAACCTGTATAAGACTTTGTTATTATGACTATATATCTACCTATAATGTTTGCGACGTTCTTTTTCAACTAAATAACTGAACGTAATAAAGCGGCAATATATACATTTACCTACTATAGCGCGTGAAATGAAATAAAAAAGTCACTGTTCAAATCCAGCTTGTCTCATTATTTTTTCATTTTTATCACGGATATCATATATTATAAAATAAAAAATGGACATTTATGCACGTGCCGCTTAGGTATTCTACATAATATAATAGGTACTGTACCTATATATACAAATACAATGATCGTTGTTTGCCGTTACAACCGTATATATAATATTATAATAAATAGCATACCTATATGTACTGGTAGCTATAATTATGGTTATAAGGACAGTAGTCAGATGGAAATAAATTTCTCTGGTCGTGTCTCTGTCATACAACTATTGTGTATCAATTGATATCGCTGCAATGTGTATATATATTATTGTCAAATTGGGCAAAAAAAAAAAATTAAAATATCAATATAAAAGTATAATAAATAATAATAATARTAGTAGTAGGCTACACGTATCTAAACGATTATGTTATCGTGCGCACACGAGCTAATACATCTATATAATATACGCGTGATGTTTCGAATAATAATAATAATGACATGCTGAAGTATAATATAATGGCTGAAAGTATATGTATATATATAATATATAATATAAATATATATACATGCATATATACATATAATATGATACCAGGTTGCAATAATGTAAGTAGGTAGGTACCTGCGCAACAGTACACCGAACGGATATATTATTATTATAATACACATATTATCTTGGGCATGCACGATTCGACAAATCACGAGCGTTTATACGATTCTTACAGATTCCCAATCGGTAATAATATATATACAGTAATAAACATAATGGATTAGGTGAGTGAATAATAATAGAAGATACATAGGTATGTGTCTATGTAGGTATACTATTACTACGGCGGCGGCGGCAATGTACCTATACCTACCTACATATATTATTGATAATAATTGTTGCCAGTCGTGTAAAATGCCCAGTCAGCACGAGCCAATTATGATCGGATCTAAAGCGCGGGTCGTGCGTCAAAACTAAAAAAAAAACCGTGCGAAGAACGACCGCATACTGTATATAGGTAGGTGACTTCACTAAAAGGGGAAAGATAAAAATAATGTATAAAAATAAAACAATTTGTATAGCAAAGCCGCAGAGGAACAGATCAACGCGTTGAAAAAAACAACACAATACTATATTATAACAGATAGGTATTTATATTATTGTATTTTTTTTTCGCGCTCGCGTTGATTTGTCACAGAGTTTATGGGCACAACTGCGACAGCCGCCGATCAATGTAAAAAGCATAATGATATTAAGAGTATAATAATAATAAAAAAAACACTTATTTTTTACACAGTTGATTTGTGTTCTGCGCTTTCAGATATAATGGAAATTTTTCCGTTCCATGGGTCAAAGAACACAAACGACACCAATTTCGCAGTGGTCCGCCGAGGTAGAGAAAACCGTTTTTTCCTCTCCTTTATACTTTTTTACAATACACGTCGCGGTATTATATTCCATTGACAAACGTCGATAATTTACGTGGTGTATATATAACTAAGAAAATAACGTTTTACAACTATTTGGAGGCTTCAATTTAAACGAAAAAGAAAAAAGAAAACCGTCGATTTTATGAGATCGCAAGCAGTATTTTCGGAGTGCTGAAAAATTTGACTGTCTATATAGGTATTTTATATAATAGGTACCTAGGTACCTGTCACCTGTGTATTAAGTTTATACCACTTTATATAATAGGTACCTAGGTACCTGTCACCTGTGTATTAAGTTTATACCACTAAACTAAATACAGTTAGTAAACACTTTACACTTATCATCAATGTTATTTTCTATTCGTGATAGAAAGCCTAAAATCTAAGTTTAATATATTTGGCGAAGAAATAATTTATTATCTTTATTCTAAAATGAAGGTTTATCGATTTGATTTTGATCATTAAACGAATTAAGCGTTAAATTTATTGATAATTCTCTTATTATATATTTACCGTAATAATATATCAATATAATACATAAATCGAATCCTGATTGTGGCTATTAAGTTGATTATTTCAGGTACCTAAACCAATTACCAACCGTTATTGGTATACCTACATTAACTCGCGGTAAGCGAATTATTGCTAATAATTAGATAGGTAGTACCTATAGATATATACATTAATATAGTTAGATATAGCGTATAATATTTGGGTAATTAGGTATCCTAAATATCAAATATGGTGTATCTAGAAAGTTTGGGAACGTATAACTAACAATATGTATATATAGAACAATTTTAAACTTTCTAAATATTTTATGTGAAACATATGAGTTTCAATCACGACGTTGTTGGTATACTTTGCTGTATATAATACAACAATAATATACCTACCACGACGTTTCATCCCYTGTAATTCACTTGATACTTATATAATCTAGGTATACACTATTGTTGTGTAAAACCGTTTAAGTGTGTATAATATACTATACGTCTATATTATTTATATACATATATCTTTATGAAGGTTAAATAAAATACATGTACTTAAATGGTTTTTATTCTGAATATATAATATTATTATAGATACGTTTCAAACTTTGAAAAATCAAACTATAACTTACATACCTACTCTATTTATATAGGTATATTATTGCATATGGCACGATTRTTTAACTATATTATATGGGTTTATACGTGTGTATACAAGAAAAAACATGCTAGTAAGTATGCTCGTAGGTAACTATACGTACCTACGTATTTTGCAAGGAGTTAAAAAAAAATTTAAAAAAAATACATTTTGTATATCTGTAATACCTTTGTACTATTTAATACTAAATAGTATATTATAGAACCATCTACGTCCTACGGTATTGTTTKTTTTAAGTATACAGGGTGTAACATTATACACATCGATACACATCRTATAATTTCGCAGTATATCCTATAATGTATTATTATATTATAATATATAGGTACCAATACGGGTATACTTACAGCCTGCTATAATACCTACCTAGTTATATCTCGTTCATTGCTTTCTATAACTAAATTAACTGCTGAGCTGGTGTATACATATATAGAGAAACCTATAGATACTGATGATAAACGAGTATATCTAATTAAAATAATTAGGAGAAATTTAATTACGATGATAAAATAACAAATTAGTCATTACTCGCATTAACCATATTTTTGTTACGTTGTATTGATACCTATGTACGTTAGACGTTGATTTTCCATGAATACCATGAATAGCTATGTAATATAATATATAAATTATTATACTTTTATTACTGTATACTATATAAGTACATTTATCGATGGGTGACCGAATTGCCATGATGTCCTGCATATAGATATGCATAATGCAGATACCTTTTAATGGCACGTAAAAACTACTGATTTCCATGATCTATACATACAATAGTATAGTATAATATTTACATAACAGAAACATGGGCGTAGYATGCATGGGGGCTATGGGGGCTGCAGCCCCCACAGAAATTTATGTAGCCCCCTCAATCCCCATGGTGTTTACTTTCATTTTTTACATTTTATCCGAAATTATAGTTTTAAATGTTTTTATAATTTTCCCTAAAATTTGTCAAGGCTTCATAATGATATATTAGCAGTGTAATGTTTATTGACAATACTATTGTACTTACATACATATACCTATTTATTTTGATCATAAACACATTTATTTATAGACCAACGCGGAAACGTCGTATTAATTATACATCGTGTCGTGCATATATTGTCGCGTCGTCCGATGACGATAACCCGATAACGGACAATTATAATTGTTTAGAACACACACATAATATTTATTTATTTCAGTATTTTTCTGGAAACCGGTGTTTGTTTGCTCATGTACTGCAATCACATACGTCTCTTTTATTTTTCTTAAAGCATATTTGAAACATTTTAAATTAATTTTACTTTTTTATTTCATTTTTCTCGTTTCTCTTGTGTTTTTTTAAACAAAATGTTTAGTATATTTAATATTAAGAAAAAAGCTGACAAGAATACACCAACTAGGGATAACGAAGACTTTGCAGTGGATGATCCAAGTCCAATAAATATTAATAATTCGTCAATACCGGAACCGGATACTCCTAATAATATTCAACCTGAGCATTCTGGAATTACATTAAGTGATTCGTTTCAGTTAGAGTTAGGGGACTTGGAATCAGGACCGACTCAACATATACTAAATGTAAATACTAAAATACTTAGTGGAATAAAATAATTCTTGTGTACCTATTTCCAATTAAATTTACAAAGTTATCCCAAAACATTAAATGGAAAACAAAACCGTTCATTTTCTTCAAATTACTATAATACATATCCATGACTAGAATATAGTGTTAAACTAGATGCGGTATTCTGCTTTTCTTGTCGAATGTTTAGTACCAGTACTGGCAATACTAATTTTAATAGAGACGCGACTTTTGTTGAAACGGGATTTCGTAACTGGAAAAAGGTAATTTTAAAATAATCTATTCAAATAGTATTTTCAACTTAATATTCGTTTGCAGCTTGGTGGCAAAGATTTWAAAAAAAAAGTATTAAAAAATCTAAAAATCGATGTAGGAGTGGGCAATTTTATACAATTAAAATATGAAGAAAGTATTGAGTTTGTTAATAAGTATATGAGGTACCTACCTAACCTATGAAGTTTAAAACTATATATTAAGATTTAAGATTTATTTAATTTATTTTCTAGAAAATATTAAACAGAAGTCCAGAAAGATTGAAGGCTGAAATGATAGTCCTAAAAAATATTATCAATAAATAAAATTATGAAATAGATGACATCATACCTGTTGTAGATAACAATATTTTTACAAATTTTTATAAACTTTTGMAAACTGCACTTACTATACCAATATCATCTGCCTCATGTGAACGTTCATTTTCTGTTATGAGGCGAATAAAGAATTGGACTAGAAATACCATGACAAATGATAGGTTTACAAACTTGTCAATACTTCATATCCAAAGAGATTTATCACATACAATAGAATCTGAAAATTTTTTCAGAAAAACACAGACGCCTATGTTTGATTTAATAATTAAATTTTAATTGTTTTATCTTTTTTTTATATTGCAAAATAAAATGCCAGTTCAAGAAGAAAGCAAATATAAATTGTTTTTTTTTTAGAAAWTGTTCTTTTTCTTTTTAATTCCAGTTAAACAAAAGGAGTTTTTTGAATGGTTTATTTTTCTAGTCCTATATAGCCCCCACATATAATTAGGTATGCCAAACTACGCCCATGAACAGAAACTATTAATCTTATTACATGTAATATTGTATACATATATTATATTTTATATAATCTGTGATGGTATTATAATTTATAGTATATATTTTGTATATTATACTACATAATATCGTTTAATTATAGTGATGAATTAATTTTATACACATCATACACACTTACCAATATATTCCAAATGGTTGTTTTTATTTCTATATTACAATCTTTAACATACTAGTCAAAAATATTAAAATAACTAAAGTATGATGTACAGAATGGCGTGCGGTACGAGTATTAAACATTATGAATTTTTGCAAAAAAAAAAAAAAATACAATTTCCCTTGATTGGTATAATATATAGGGAGAGTAAAAATTAAATACGTTTAATTTAATATCAAATATTRTAATTTATTAAGATGCACATACACAAAAAAAATAACACTGCATGCATGCATGTATAATGATATATAAAGCTATAATTGTATATTAAATAGTGTGAGTATGATGGTGAATACAATCGAGCGTCTTATATTATAGGTAGATACTTATGTATTTAGATACCTAATATTATATTAAAAGAAGAAACTTCAATACTACTATGTAATTACTATACTATAATAGAGCCTTTAAATGAAGATTAATTATTATCGTGCGGTGCAATAGTTTAGCTTCCTTTCGTCAGTTTCCGAGCAGGAAATTTTTAATTGGAATATATATAGAAACGAACGCACACACGTAGAATATATTTATTTAATTATAGGAAGGTGCCTATAATATAATACGTGAGTCGTAAACACTACAAACAATAATAATAATAATATAATAATCATACCTACAGTTTATTATGAGGGTATAATTGATTATAATCGATTCAGCCGCGTGTGTATAATATGTATAATGATATAATATGAATCGACGGCCATGGCGGGTCGACAACGGAGGTAGTAATTTTGACCGAAATGTTTCGTATAATATGTGTATAAATATTATAAAGTTATCGTTAATATCCATCAGCAGTTACCAGTTGTTGGTCGTAGCATAGAACGTCGTAGAGAGATAGTAATCGTCGGGCGGATATAATAGAGTGGTCGGATAATACAATTCATCGGAATCGCAACGAAGTTTAGCGACTACTATTATAATAATATACCTATACACAGAGTGAATCACCAATAATCGTCACCACTTTTATTTCCTTTATTAATGTATCAACTCAAGTTTTGAATTTTAGAATTTTTAAGTGTTCTTTCTCAAAGACATTCTAAACATATTTAGACCTATTTACTTTAATAGGTACACAAACATAGATAGTTAAACAACTAAATACTTCTTGTTTGGATTTTCATTTTGAAACACCGAAGAATTCAGAAAAATTATCTACAGAATAATTTACCGTAAAAAATGAAGTTTTTATTTGAAAAACAAATGTTGTATATATCAACAGGACACTCCTTATATAAGTAGTATAACAATTTTCAAGGATTTTTAAATATGGTTTTTAAGACTTTATATAGTTTAGGTATCCATACTACCAAGATATCTCGATATTAAAATCAAATTTCGAATAACTAAATTATTAAAGAAGTCAAAGGAGTAAGCAATATGCTGGTTAATCAGTCTATATAGAGAGAAAAGTCAATTAAATATTGAATAAGGGGGTATTTTTGGATTTTAAAAAAGTATATATTTTGGCCGAATTCTAATAATTCCCAAGGCCTCGAAAAACCTGAGAACGACACTTTTTTTTATCGTATTTAAGACATAGACTTGTGAAGATTATTGTGTAAGGTGTAACCAATTAATAATGAGATAGATACAGTGAAATCGCGATGACTGAATACATCTTATATCACGTATTTTCGTATTTTGTTATAGTGATAATCACATCATATATAAGTGATCTAAACATATTTAAAAACTGATCTGCAAATATTTTGGTTTTAGGTTTAGATGAATTTTTATGAGAGGTGATGTTTCAACATAGCATTTTGAAACATTATTGGGAATGTTATAGTAATGTGTATAGGTACATAATTTTTGCGTCTAGTTCTATATATATAAAAACGATTCAATATCTATATATTTCAACCTTCAAACGGCTGTACTAATTCCAATAAAAGTTATATCAATATAGATTCATGGAGCTCTGTGTCTTAATGAGACTACTTTTTATTTTATTTTTTGATTGTGATAACAACATKGGAAAAAATCTGTATTTATTAGGTATATAAATTGTTGGCCATGAACAAGAAAGCTATCTTCTGAAAATGTAAGTGTATTATTCAGTATAATACAGAATATGTTCTATCCTAATCATTAAATTACAGCGATGGCGTATACGTTGGGACTGCGTGTGAATTAATAAAGAGATGATAAACAATTAACTATACGGTGCTGAATTTCTACGGTGCTGTTATAATAAGTAGGTATATTTTAAATATACCTATAGATAGATATTATATTATTATACATATTATTTAACTCTCAATCATTTTATAAATGCGAAACAACATTTTTTATTTTATAATTATTTCAATATAACGAAAATTGTGATTACCTATCTTCGGCTAGAATTATTTAAAGATAATAAATTGTTTATTGCAGTAATCGTTACTTACTGCAACAGCTATCAACATGACCCACCCGCAGGTTGATTAGGTTAGTTACTTAGGTATTATTTATAAATGAGCGTCGTTACTTTTCTCTTCGAAAACCACTGAATGAGTTTGAATATTTTAACTACTTTATTTTACAGTGAGTTTTTAAGAAAAAAATTCTAATAAACCACTCACTTAATCGTATTAAAAATCTGTGT